GGGGTTTGGGGTTCAGGGTTTTAGGGTTTAGGGTTTAGGGTTCAGGGTTTTAGGGTTTAGGGTTTAGGGTTTAGGGTTTGGGTTTCAGGGTTTTAGGGTTTAGGGTTTAGGGTTTAGGGTTTCGGTTGCTGGCCGAAGGAGTGTTTCCGTTTTGCTAACGCAAAAGAGGAGGGGTAGTTGGGGCAATCGAAGCTTCGGTAGGGCTTCAGGGTCGTAGGGTTCTAAGTGTGTAGTTGAGGCTGTGAGGATGTGGTGCGTGCGGTTTCATGTGTCTTAAACCCCTACCAAAACCCTACACCCTAAACCCTAGACCCTTAAACCCCTCAACCCTAAACCGCAAACCGTAAACTTCAACCCTAAAACCAAGACTGTAGACTGTAGACCCCAAAGCTCTGAACCCCAAACCCCAAGACCCAACGCTCTGAACCCTAAACCCAGGCGTTCGGTGCTCTAGTGAGTGAGATATCGGGATTGCAATGGGTTCCAGATGCTTGGGTTTTCGGGTCGCTGCCCTTCCAATTGGTCTACGTCCACGGAGAAGTTGCCTGCAGCTTGTGTGTGCCAATGATTTGAGCTTGGGGCGGTGTGGTTTTGAAGGAGTAGGGTTTGCCGTAAGGGTCCATGTACCCAAACAGTATCTACTCTGGCCCCAAAGTACCTATATAAGGACTACTTCAAGGCCAAAGTATATACTATTTACTAGTTGGGCATATGGACCCTTAGGGTTACTGTAGGGTTTGAGGGTGTAACTTTGGATTCTATAGTTCAGGATTGTAGTTGAACCAAGCAGCGTCAGGTTCGGACTTGTTTAGGGTTTAAGGGTTTAGGGGTTTAGCGTTTAGGAGTTTATGGTTTAATTAGGGTGTGGTGTCAAGTCCCCAATGCGCTTGTTGGTTCAAAGAAGCAGATTGCAAGCAATAAGTTTCACCCCAATAAAAGGGTCCATGTCCTACCTGTAGCCGAAAAGCCCTGACGTATGAGGGTTTCATATTATGGAGCCCAAGATTTGTCTAGCTTTTTTTTTTTTTTTTT